GGTAAAGATCCTTACAGTCGACCCTGTATCACTTAATCCAGTTGTACAGAGTCACATTCTCCAGTGAAATACAAAAACAATTTGTGGTTTGCAACAAATACTGGTGTAAATTCACTCATTGTGCGCATAAAAACACCAAAACTATGTCGTCATCACGCCGCCACGATGCATCCAGAAGTTTTTTTTTTTATCACAGATGAATGTTTCCGTCCACATGATAGCAGGATGTGTTTCGTTAGCATCTATGTATGAACCATCTATTAACCCAGTTTGAGGAAAAACATGGCAGACAGCCGTGATAGATTAGCATCATTATGTCGGATGCTTAAACCACCAGTAGATGGAAGCACGATGCCGGTGCCGCTGAGCCCGACGTCCTTGAATCGGCCCGGACGTAGTTCTGCGAAGAGTGACAGCTGTGTGATAGTTGTTTGGATTCCATCGAGCTCGAGAGACCAACTTACAATTTCAGGCGTCATTAGCTGTAACTGCAGTGAAAGAGCTCCATCTGTCAGCTGCTGGCAGCTCTTCTTATTTATTTATTTTTGTTTATAAAATGTTGTAGGACACCAAATTATAAATGTGTTCTCCTCACTTTAATAGCCACATGTAAACAAATGTTGTGTAGAGCTTTCTTAAATGCTCGAAGCCAACACCGGAACAACCAGCCAACCGGAAAAAAACTCATATAAGGAGCGAAATGTCATTTATACCAATTTGCAGGTGGTTTCATATCCATACTAGCATAAACCTTGTTCAGGTTTTGTGTTCGTAGAGACGCTTTTGTGCCAGTTTGTCCACATTGTGACTTCTTTTTTTAAGTAGACGTCGACACAACAACGATGTCACGGTTCTGCTGCTTTGCTGTGACTGTAACTAAATAATAATGTTTGTAGGTCATGAGGTGCTGCTCACTAAACGTTTGACTCTCTGTGGCTGCAGTGGATTCTGAAGATGGTGTAGCCGTTGACGCTCCAGGAAACCTCCCCTTAGACGCAGACTTCCTTCTTGGACAAGACCTTGAGTTCGGTGATCCTGATCATGACAACAAGATTCTAGGCTTGGAAAAGTTCTCAGGTTTGTAAGCTGCTTCTTCTTCTTCTTCTTCTACTACTTTGTATTCTCTGTATTCTTCTTCATATTCTTCGTGTTCTTCTTCTTCTTCTTATTATTATTTTTACGTGTTAGAAGTTACAGCCTTTAAGATTTGAGTCCTGGTTGTTTTCTGGTTGTTATCACGGTAACAGAAAACACAACAGAAGAGGAAGTGATGCGTCTGGATACGTCTGAACACAGTTTAATGTTGTTTTAACAAAGAATACGAACAACCACAGGCTGATTTTCTGCAGCAGAAACTGATCCTTTGGCAGCCGATGACTTTGTGCTATTTTGTAGATTCAGTTTTTTACTGATGATTTTTGTAAGCGAGCAGCAGGTTGGTCGGGGACTCACCGCTTAAAGATGCTCATGTGATGTGTGTCAAACCGCTTCACTGTCAGCCCTCCCAGAGATGCATTTTAATTGATTTCATGCAACAGATAGCGTGTGTTTCTTGTGATTGCTTCACGATAAAAGACATTTAATGCATTTAATGTACAGCAGAGAGCATCAGGAGAACGAGCAGCTGGCTTTGACTTCATGAACATTTCATGGATTAAATATCATAATAGACTTGATGTGGACGAGTGGGCGTCACACAAACATGAAAAACAGCTAAATGAAGTGCAAATAGAATAAAATGAGCAAACACAGTGATCATAAAATAGAGTACCTATCTGTGAAGCAGTTCACGAGCGTTTCTCAGGTTTCTACTGACCGTGGGCTCATTCTGCTCCTCCATGGAAACATCACAACTCAACTCAACACGTCTTTTGTGCAGGACAGCAGAGCACTAATGCCAGAAATCATAAAAGCTGAAAAATCTAAAATTGAATTTCTTTGATTATTGATTTTACAAATATTGAAAAAAATGTGGATTGAACACATACAATGATTTATAAATGTCCAGAGGTGTGGATAAAGGTTCACTGTTCATACTGTTGATAATTAACTACAGTCGTGACTCGATAACCCGACACTAAATGTAAAACCTTCTTTTATGTCGGATATCAAGGCTGTCGGATTGTCAAGACGGAGGTCCGATACAAGGAGGGCTTGATGCTGGAAGGCTCATTAGTTGTTAATATTTGTTGTTCATAGTTGTTATAATAACGAGTAGGGCTGGTCCCAATAGAACTTTCTGGGCTCAATTAATGATGAATATCAGAATATTCGGTG